AAAAAAAAAAAAAAAAGGAGGAAATTGGTAGACCAGTGGGAATTCTAGAAAACTCAATCTGGCTGCATTTTGAGGACAGGATAAGGGGAGTGAGGCAGGAGGCTACTGAAGCTGTCTAGATCAGAGACAATGAAGATCTGAACCAAGATGCAGGCAGATGTGGGGGCAGATAGATGCAGGCAGATGTGGGGGCAGATAAACGTGGCAAGATCCAGTCATCAAGTAGATATGGAAGTGAGGGAAAGGATGATTCCTAGATTTTTAGCCAAGGTGTCTGTTGCTGTCTGAAATGAAGAAGAGGTTCCTGGGCAGAAGGGAGAAGATGGTAGTTTGGTGTGGGACATGCTGACTTTAAGATGTTTGGGAACATCCCTTGGCCATATGCTCTGGATAGAAGTCTAAACTGGAGACTCTGATTCGTGTAATTTTATTGGTGGATGTTGAAGCCATGGAAGGAATTGGATGACACTATCCAGGATAAGCTTTTTTTTTTTTTTTCTTAGAGACAGAGTCTCACTTTGTCACCGTTGGTAGAGTTTTGTAGTGTCACACCTCGCAGCAACCTCCAGCTCTTGGGCTTAGGTGATTCTCTTGCCTCAGCCTCCCAAGTAGCTGGGACCACAATGTCCGGCTATTTTTTGTTGCAATTTGTTCGGGGCTGGGCTTGAACCCGCCACCCTTGGTATATGGTGCCAGCACCCTACTCATTGAGCCATAGGTGTCGCCCTATCCAGGATACGCTTTTGAAGAATCTTCTGAGGAAGTGGCCAAACACAGAACCTTGGTAATTACCAACTTAAGGGGTATAACAGAGAAGAGCGGACAGCAAGGGAGGCAGGAAAAAACTAAAGTCAGGGAAAGAAGAGAAAGATGAGAGAGGTTTGCCATGGAAGCCCAAGGAACAGAGTTTGCAGAAGAGATTGATTGGTCAACAGGGTAAAGTGAGATGAGACGAAAAGGCAACCACTTGGCTGGGTGTGGTGTTTTGAACCTGTAATCCAAGCACTCTGGGAGGCTGAGGCAGGTGAATTGTTTGAGCTCACAAGTTCAAGACCAGCCTGAGCAAAAGCGAGACCCTGTCTCTACTAAAAATTAAAAAAAAAAAAACTGAGGCAAAAGGATCACTGGAACCTGAGTTGGAGGTTGCTGTGAGCTATGACACTATAGCACTCTACCCAGGGTGACAGCTTGAGACTCTTGAGACTATTTGGTCTAAAAAAAAAAAAAAAA